TCCGACGTCTGATTTCTTTTTAATTATAGGAAATGCGTTTCTCTAAGCTACATAAACATTTGGGATTGACTGTATAGCCAATACATCTTTAAGATAATCAGATCGTAAAGTGATACGTATAAACATCGCATAATCAGAAAAATCCTCGAATAATATTTCGAGAGCAACGAAGGATTCTTGAAATTCTCAAGATTCATAGTAATTACTATTGAAAGTCCGGTGTTGTAAACTAACGTTGGGTTTGGTGATTGAGGGAAAAAGCTATGGGTATGCTATGGCTGGTCTCGTCAAGGGAACAGTACGGCCACCAGCAATCCGCCTTTGCTTTTGATGTTACCACCCGCCGCCTCGGTTTATACAACCGACCATCCGGCACGGCCGTCGTTCGAATCACTTAGTTATGGCTTTCCTCGGGAACTTTTGCGACTCTACTCTACGACTACCTCCGCTCTCCCACGTTTCTCTCTCTTTTCGACCGAAACGAAATCTCGTCCTACCGTTTCATCTCTCTCTCTCTTCGCGTCAGGAACTCAGACAGAGAGAAGTTTTCACGTGCGTGTACCAAGGGGTCCTTCGACTGACCCTGCTCCAAGGGTGGAGCTTGAAATAAGGGTGGTACCTCACAGCTTCTACCTACCCCATCGAGAAACAGCATTGGGGATGACATGGAAGGCGAAGGAACAGCAGTAGGAGGAGAGACACACCGACGGGTGCGAAATAGACGAGAACCAAACGCGACACGAGGTTTCCGCGAGAGAGCGAACGCAACCACTCCGTGCACTGCTACATGCATTTCAAGTGCACTTTATCGCGATATACATTCTCGGTGTCATTGAATTTCGTAATTGGCGAATTTTTCTTTATTAACCACCAGAAATTACGAACCGAAGATATCAGATTCGGTACGCCAGTGTCGGTTCAACAGAAACTGTGTATGCCTGTGCGTGATAGAGAAAGTGTTCAAGACAAAGGACGAGAAGTTTTAAAACATTGTCCGCAGTAAGTGTCCCGCGCAATGTAATATCGTGAAGTGTCAAAACGTCGCGAGCGAATTTCTATGATAACCGTAGCAAGCCAGTTTGATCGAATTGTGAACATCCAGCGTGGTGATAGAATATGGCGCCGAGTGTCGATAATAATAATCGTCGGACTATTTTAGAAAGTGATCCTTATATCGGTAGCTGGAGACGAAAACAGGCGCAGAAAGGTATATAAGTTTATCACAAAACGTGCTAAGTACTGTATTTTCATTTGCGACGCAGTAGTTTAAAAGCAATTCTTAAAGTTGAAATACTGACTCAAGTGTGCAACGATTACAGATAAACTATTTACGCGAATGACTGAAATTCACTTCTTGTATTGCGTTTCTGAAACTACACAATTCTACAGGGTGAACATTGTTTCAAGAATTAGTTTCTGAAGAATGATACACATTAAATATCCAATTAAAAATATTATTCCGAATCATTCTTATTTTTTAAACCTGTCCTCTCATAATCACGAAGTGAAAAGAAAATTACACGATGTGCTTTAGTCGGCGTGTAGAGAACAAATGATTTTTCACCGCAGATTCCGAGAATAGGTACGACCGAGCTATTTCCACGGTGTTATGCATGTTAACTTCTCTGTGGTACTTCTAGGTACCACGTCAATATACCACGAGTCACCTGAAGTTTCTCCGTCTTCTTTATTTTCCTTTCTTCCCGCTTCCCTGTTTTACTGAGCGAGGCTAATTAAAGCCAGGCATTCCAGCTACGTTGGAAATTTCATTCACAAATCAATTTCCAGTAGTCTTAATCATCTGATCGTCACGTTTTATTGAATGAACTCTCACTTGCGAGAGCAAAGGCGAGGGATATAAAAAATCCATAGTTAAATTTTCCGAGGTAGAAAGTAGAGGTGTATTCATTATACATACACTGTTGTGCGGTTTGCGATGGAAAGACCGAGCCGCGGAATTGGCGACTGAAACGACGGCACAGGAAAAAATGCATTATTCAAAGCGAATTTCCATCCGTGAGAAGTCTCGGTAGATGGGTAGCTACGTCGTTAGATTGCTCTCTTGCCGGCGTTTTAATGACGGTTTGCTCCCTTTGCTTTCGGTTCTCTTGTAACGAGCAGCTTCGGCTCATCGTTATGGCTCCTCCCGCTGTATCATCGTCCTCCTTTGACGACGTCAATCGCGACATTAACAACATTACTTTCGCCAAATTTATTCCGACCTCGTCGTTGATCTTTTCGTTCTATCACATTGTTTACGCGCGCTTTATTCCCATCTTTCTGATTTATAATAAACTTATTTTCCTTTCTCCGTGATACATGTTCCTAAAATTTGGAATATTCCTTACAGTACGAGTGATGCATATTATCTACTGTTTATTATATAAATAAATTTTACACAAAATTAATATATAGATTGTTTACAGTCTCCAGAATGCGAATCTGATATTTATTCATTTTTTTCATTTTTTCTCTGTTTCAGACAACAACAGTTCTTCTTCAGATACGTTAGACATGAGCTCGCATAATCACTATTCGTTGAACAGCAATTCGATCAGTAACACGTCTGTCCCGCAAGAAGGCGTGACGAAGGAAAAAAGCAAAAAAGCAGCGCGTATCCGCCGCGACCGGGAGAATCACGAGTTCGGGGAGCTCGCCAAATTGTTGCCAGTGCCGTCCGCCCTTACTGCGCAAATGGACAAGGCTAGCGTCATCCGACTGACGTCGAGCTACTTAAAGATGCGAGCATTGTTCCCGCATGGTATTAATATATTTATCATTATATACATGTTAAATTGATGCATATGAAATGTTGGTTTCCTCAAAAAGAGCAAGAAATGTGCCTCGTGTATTTGATTCAAACAGAAGGTTTTTCATTGTCTCATATGTATATTAAAGATTAATCCTGAAATCTATAAATGCTTTGAATTCTGGCTTCACAATTTCACTGTTTCGAGTAATTCGCTCTATTGTTCAATTTATTTTTATTGGCTTTTATAATATAACCATAATTTCTCATATAAATCGATTGTACCAAATTAACTGCAATTATATTAAAAATTAATAATCAATTCAAATTAATCGGAGCTTCGGAAAGTGGCTCTAACTTTCGAGAATGCTACTCAATTCGATCGAAGAAACGGATCGATTAGTATAATTTTTTTGAGTGATTACTGGGCGAACGATAAGTACCGCGTGCCGGGTAATAAAGTTCACCTAAACTAACCGGTAAACGGATTGAAACTGTATTCTTTGTTAATTCAGCCACCGGACACTTACGCGCAAAGGGCAAATAGTATCGGATGAGATGGATGTGATTGCGCACTTAATGCATTGTTAGTCCCCCCGGTGCTTTGTAAGCAAAGCATGGGGGCTGTTATAGTGTTACAATGGCGCATCCCCCGTTCGTCTCCGTTCCTATCCTCTGCCCTCGCGTTCTTACGACATCGGTGAATTGAATTTCAAGTGGCTGCATCCCTCTAGAATACGGCCGCGTTCTTTATTCTTTGACAAAAAAGAGAATTGAAAAGAAAGGGAGAGAAAAAAGAGACACGTTGTGCACTCTATGACACTTCAGGGGTGTTCCTTTTCGATCGCGTAGAAAATTAGCTGGTGAACAGGTAAACGAGTGTGAAATTCAATTTAGATTCAATGACCTTTCCTGTTCTTTTCGCTCCGAATAATGTTATATCTAAGATCATGCAAATCTACTTTCACCCTAATTAATTCACCAAAAGAGACTAAAAATTGTCGTACGAATTATTAAATTTGTATACAATGAAATCACGGTTTAAATATTACTTACGTGAATGCAACTCTTTTTTTAATTTGTTACGACATCTTTTGTATCACACTAATCTTTTTATTAAGCAATAGTAATTCTACTGAATTGACGAAATGATCAAGTAATTTTCCATGAAGTTCTATGCAACTGCAGATGAGAACACCCCTGCAATTGCATCCATGTCAGCATGCGTGTGATTGTATTTTAATTAATGCGTAGACACGAAATACTTGGGTATAGACTTGTATGTACGTCGAATATGAAACGCTAGACACATGTATGTACATATGCATTAGAACCAAAATAAAAAAGTATAATATGCTAATTTCCTGCAAAGTCTCTCAAGGTACTCAACTAAATCTATTCATTTATCATCGATTAAATCAATTCATTATTAGAATTTTAATTCTTTATTGTATGTTTCCTAGTCATTATATCTGCAATGATTTAAAATTTGTGATAATATTTTAATGAATTTTATATAGTACTTCACGTAGAACTTTCAATTTATTTTAGTATAGTACCACGAATTTTTAAAACAATTTCTTCACAGCTTAACAGCTAGCTTTATTGAAACAATTAAATTCTTATTGTTTATTTCTCACAAGAAATAAAACATATTAAGAAGATGAATTTAGAGCAACATGTGATTAATAATACGAAAAATGCGTCAAAGTAGAATTTATCAGCAAAACAACCAAAAGTGAATTTCTTCCTTTCCTTAAGTATGAAAAATACGTATAGATAAAGGGTCTGCTTTCGCACTTGGAGAGATTGGTCCAGCCGAAAGTCTGACGGTCGTGAAATCATTTTTCAGGTCTTGGAGAAGAATGGGGTGCCTCGCAGCCAGGCAACATCTCCCTACAAATCGCTCTCAAGGAGGTGACTAGTTATATTTTGCAAGTAAGCACTCATCGTTCACTGTGTCGCGCCTGATAAATCGACCACCATGTATAACGTCTTACATACGTTGTCACTTGAACAACGTCGACAGCTTTAGTTTTTAGATTGACAAACAGATACTTGACTATTTCACTTTCTGATGAAACCTTTCTAATTTCGTTCTCGCTTGAATTGAACGAAATTAAGGGCGCGACCAGCAGTTGAAAACTGTTCTGTTGTGTAGTAATTAAATGTGCGAGGCGTATCGAGGCGTTAAACAAAATAATCTCATCGTTTAATTATAGAACATGGATTACTCTTGATCGTGGATTTTTCTTGCTTTCAGGCCTTGGACGGTTTTGTATTCGTCCTGGCGCCCGATGGAAAAATTATGTACATAAGCGAAACTGCCAGTGTGCACTTAGGAATGGCGCAGGTACATATGTCAAAATCTGTCTTCATTGCACAATCAGATGTTTATTATTTAAAACAGACTGTAAGAAAAATCAATTTCTTTCGCTACCGTTTTAAGTAAATAGTTTTAAAATTTACTACAAAATTTATGGGATATTCTAGCGGGAGATTTTAATTGATTACAGGTGGAACTAACAGGAAACAGCATTTTCGAATACATCCTTGATCAAGACCACTTAGAAATGTCGTCGGTTCTGGAGTTACCACAGAGCCCTGCGGATTTGCCGATTCCGCCGGCGAACGCGAGAGGTGAAATTGAACTGGAACGTATCTTCATCTTGAGGATGAAATGTAATTTGGCGAAGAGATGCGCCGGCCTAGTCTCTGAAGGATATAAGGTAAGTATCTTTCATCTTTGTCAATATTGTCGTAATTTCGATTATATTTTTAGTTTAATGAGATATTTC